CTCCTCCTCCTCCTCCTCCTCCTCCTCCTCCTCCATCTCTCCCTTACCTTAACCCCACCCTCCCTAGAGTCCACCCCAAAACCTCCAGGAATTTCCCAACTCAGAGCTGGCAGCCGGTCCAGCCAGGAACCAGCCGAGTGCCTGCAGTCAATCGGTCTTCTCCTCCTGCGCTGCCCAGTGGCTTGGAAGGAGAGCCCCCCCGGGCTGTGAGGCCCCGCATGAGGCCACGGCTGGGGGGGGGGCTTGTAGGGGGAATTCCCAAGGCGGGGCCACCACCGGGGCTGCTCTCCCGGGTGTCAGTTAACACTGCCATTCTCTGGAATGTGTGTGTGTGGGGGGAGATCCTCCTCGCCTCTGCCTGGTACACTAACGGATGTCTCCTGCCTGGTTATTATCTTCTTTTGCTTTTCTGACCTTGGATGGTCCAGCTGCTCCTGGCCTGCTGGGAACAAACAGCTTCTACTCCACCTGCTCACTTTCCCCCCCTGTGCGCGCACAGTGCTTATTGGCTTCTGCTTGCAATGGGGGGTGTTTTGAAACTACTATAATTCTGGGTGTCCTGCTGCTTTGGGCCATTCCTGACAGGAGAAGTTCACGTGTCATAGTTATGGACTACCAATAAACAGAATACTTCTTACGAAGCACTGTGTGGTGTGATCTGACTAGCGAACCCTGACATCAGTTATCAGGGGGCTCTCCAAGCCTTCCTCCAGACTGTTGCATGGAGCCTGGACCCCTTCTCCAGCCGGCCTTGGCTCTTCTGGCGCCATCGGCATCCTTGCCTGGAAAGGACCCACCAGCCGCTGCTCTTCTTCTGGGTGACCCTTGTATTCCGTAGCAGGACGGGTCTCCCTTGGAGCAGTGTGTGTGTGTGTGGGGGGGTGGCCCCTGCAGAACACGCATTGCTCCAAGGGTGTGTGACTCTGTGGGAAGGTCTTCCCCCACCCCCCACCCCCAGCTGCCCCAGGGTCACTTGCGTCCCTCTCTCTGCAGTATCTGGACTCTGTTCACCACCTGATGGATCCCGAGAGGTACAGGCAGATGGAGGCCCTGGCCAGAGAGTTCCAGAAGAAAACGGCCCCCCGGCTCCAGAAGTACCTGGTCCTCAAGTCCTGGTGGGCCACCAACTACGTGAGTACCTGCTCAGCCCGGCCTGCCCTGCGAGGGGCCCCTCCGCCTCCCCCCCTCTGTGGCCGGGCTCCCTCCCCCTCCCTCCTGCAACTCTGGCAGCCCCCCCCCCGGACCCTGCTGGCCCCTCAGCCTCAGGTCCCCGGCTGGCTGTCAGCTGCTTTCCCCCACCACCACCACCACTGAGCCCAGTGTGTACCCGCGGGCTCTCTGTGGGGCTGCCTTCGGAAATGGTCCGGAAGCTTCCGCTGGTTCAACCTGCAGTAGCCAGACCCTTGTCGGGGGGGGGGAGAGGGAGTGGGGATGCGGGGATCATATCAACCCTGTGTGGAGAGATTTGCACCCGCTGCCCGTCTCTCTCAAAGAGCTCCCTCTTAAAGGGCCCTTATAATGTACTGGGTTCGAGAGACATAGATGAGTGATTTCAGCTCATGATTTATTTGAAGGTGGAAACTGAGACAAGAAAGCGGGGGCCCGGGGGCCTGCTTATATGCCGGTTCCAAACCACACCCAACACCCATGATTGGTCTATTTACACATAACCATAGGTCCGTCTTAGGATCCAGATCAGCCGATAGGTCTGTTCTAGGATCCTCAGCGTCCATTGTTCTAGATCGCAAAGCTCTGTGTGTTCGCTAGACCACGTGCGCGGCTGACCACGTGCGTGGTCCTTTGTTAGGACATAACAGCCCTGAAAGGCTTGGGGCTAGCATAGAATCACAGAATCATAGAGTTGGAAGGGACCTCCAGGGTCATATAGTCCAATGCCCTACACAATGCAGGAAATTCACAAATACCTCCCCACCACCACCCACAGTGACCCCTCTTCCACACCCAGAAGACCAAAAAAAACCCCACTCCAGGATCCCTGGCCAAACTGGTCTGGAGAAAAATTGCTCCCTGAACCCAAAGTGGCCATCAGCATTTCCCTGCGTGCGCAAGAAAGGGCCACAAGAACTAAGCAGTGAGGAAACCCTTCCTGCCCTCCCTCTCACGATCCACCTAAGTCCACAGAATCCGCCATGCTGTCAGATGGCCACCTAGCCTCTGTTTGAAAACCTCCGAAGAAGGAGAGCCCACCACCTCCGGAGGAAGCCCGTTCTACTGAGGAACCGCTCTAACTGTCAGGAAGTTCTTCCTCATGTTGAGCCAAAAACTCTTCTGATTTAATTTCCACTTGCATATGTGGAGATCCACCCATCCTGCCAGCTGAGATCCTTTTCTCTCAAGACCGTTGTTCTCTGTGGTCCTCCCTGCAGTCATGAGGCAGGTGCAGACCAGCAACAGGGCCTTTTCACACCTACTTTGCTTTTCTTTAGGCACCAGGCAAAAACATGTCTCATCAGCCTGGCTTTTAATGAAGGGGTCCCCCCCCCCTTTTTGATATATATATATTTCTTAGAAAACAGGACGATTATATAAATGGGATACAAAAGGAAAAGAAAGATTACAACAAATACACTACAGGATATAGAAAACAGAAAATATTTTTATTCAAAATCCACTTCCTTGTACAATATTCAAAACTTATTCTGCTTCTACATTGTAATAAAATGATATGCTCTGCATCCATTTAATCACACATTTTTTTCATTTGTTCTTCTTCTGTTTCAAACTGAAGCAATAACTTATATATCCATCAGAGTAAATGATCTTTTTGTTTTGTAATCAGCTGTTCAAACTCTTAAAACTCCACCTTCTGGGCTAATAATCCTTTTAATCTTTGAACTGATTGGTAATACAGTAACCATTGAATGTTGATTCCTTCATCTTGCCAGGACCCTGAGCATTTACCATATTGTCTCATGTTAAGAAACCACTTTTATTTCTTATATACTTATCGTGATAAGCTTCTATTGGGGACATGAGTGGAGAATTTGGAGAACTCAGTAAATTCTGATGTGAAAATCATATTTTCAAAAGTCCATCTCTAATTATGTGACTCCTTTCCTGTGTTGTGATCATTTTGGTTGATTTCTTTTGCCATAAATAATTATGTAGACCTTCATCCAGGTCTGCTGATTCAAGTTTTACTACTCTTTGTTTTGGATTTTTAATCCAGTCTCCGGTTCAGATCACACCTGCCACTTGGTAATATAATTTTATATTTGAAACGGCTAACCTGCAATTTATTTATTTATTTATTTATTTATTTATTTATTCAATTTCTATCCCGCCCTCCCAAAGGCTCAGGGCGGCTCACATGTGGCAAAGTCAGAATATAAAATACAATAAAACATATAATACAACATTTAAAACACAGTAGAACCTTCCTATAGCACAGTGCTGTACCTATATTAATCATCCAAGATGGGAACAACCATCCAAATTTGGCGGCCAGCTCTCTCAGTAGCGCAGTCTCCTGCTACGCTGTCTCTATACTTCGGCCAGGCCATGCTTGCCTCCCTTTAGTAGGCCAGCCGATGGTACACCACCTCGGTGGTAGGGTAGTGGCGGCGGCGGCTCCTACTCGAACGCCTGGCGGAAGAGCTCTGTCTTAAAGGCCCTGCAGAACTGCATAAGGTCCCGCAGGGCCCGGATCTCCTCTGGGAGCTCGTTCCACCAGGTAGGAGCCACCACCGAAAATGCCCTGGCCCTAGTAGGGGCAAACTTAATCTCTCAGGGGCCTGGAACTACCAGGAGATGGAGGTTCCCCGATCGTAGTGCTCTTGCGGGAACATACAGGGAGAGACGGTCCTTCAGGTAGGCCGGACCCTGGCCATTCAGGGCTTTAAAGGTAAGAACCAGCACTTTGAAGCGAATCCGGTATGCTATTGGCAGCCAGTGCAGCGCTTGCAGCCCAGGCTGAATATGGTCTCGCCTAGATACGCCCAACAACAGCCTGGCCGCAGCATTCTGCACTAGCTGCAGCTTCCGGATTTGCGACAGAGGCAGCCCTAAATAGAGAGCGTTACAGTAGTCCCCTCATAGAATCATAGAATGTCAGAGTTGAAAGGGACCTTACAGGTCATCTAGTCCAACCCCCTGCCCTCTGAGACCTCTTTTGAGACCTTTCTCGTGTGTGCGGCTGCCTGCCTGGGGACTGCGGAGCCAACGTCATCTTAGACCGCTCCATTTTATGTGTGTGCCTTGGGTGGTTTTTATTAGTTGCTTTTATTGAGATTTTTTATCGATGAGTGGTTTTATTCATATTTTTTATTGGTATGACTTGCTTTTTATCTTTTTCCCTGTCTGACTGGGTTTTTTTTTGGGGGGGGTTACTGTTGTGAGTCTCCTGTAACAGGTTGGGAGGGGCAGCCCACGGTTTCTTTAAGAACGAAATAATGTCCCGAAAGGGAGGGCTGGACCAGGCAGGTATCTCCTGGCCTCGAGGGGGCAGGAAGGCTCTTCAGCACTAGAGACGGATTCTGCTTGCCAGTGTGGTGTGGTGGTTAACAACGGTGAGCTCCAGTCTGGAGAGCCGGGTCTGATTCCCCACTCCCCCTCCACGTGAAGCCTGCTGGGGGACCTTGGGCCAGCCACAGTTCTCTCAGAGCTCTCTCAGCCCCTCTCTCAGGGTATAGAGACCAGCTCTTCTCCTTGAACGCCTTGGGCCACCTGGCGGCCTGCTCTGTCTCCTTCCGTCCCCCTCCTCATCCACTCCCCCTGAGAGCGTCTGTGCTCACTCGACAGGTGAGCGACTGGTGGGAGGAATACATCTACCTGCGGGGAAGAGGCCCCATCATGGTGAACAGCAACTACTACGTCATGGTGAGTAGTGAGGCGTCTGCTGCCAGGTACTCTGGGCCGGGCGTCCACCCCCCACCCCCGCTGCCCTGCCCGGTGGCCAGCAATGGCGCTTAGTGAGGCAGCCGAGAAGACTTGGCAGGGAGGGCGGGGTATAAATCAAATCAATCAATCAATAAATCCTGCCTCTCGGGGCCTCTTCTGTCTCCCTGGCCAGGACTTCCTGTACGCAAAGCCCACCCCGCTCCAGGCCGCCCGGGCGGGCAATGCCGTGCATGCCATCCTGTTATACAGACGCAAGCTGGACCGCGAGGAGCTCAGGCCCGTGAGTGGGGGCCCAAGGGGGGGGGTGGAAACATGGGGGGGCCTGGCTAGGCGTTTGGTGTTGTGGTTAAGTGCAGGCTGACTAATCTGGGAGAGCCGGGTTCGATTCCCCACTCCTCCACTTGCGGCTGCTGGATGACCTTGGCCAAGCCATAGTTCTGACAAGAGCTGTCCTTGAAAAAGAGCAGTTTCTGTCAAGAACTCTCTCAGCCCCGCCCACCTCACAGGACGTCTTTTGTGGGGAGGGGAAGGGAGAGGAGTTTGTAAGCTGCTTTGAGACTCCTTTGGGTAGTGAAGGGTGGGGTATAAATCCAATCTCTTCTCTTCTTCTTCTCTTTGGATGCTCCATCTAATGCGAGAAAGAGGGAGCTGTTGGGGGTCACGGGTTCGTTGTTATGTGGGGCGGGTAGCAAATGCACCTCCTGTCACCCACGGGAGCCGGCCTGGCTGGGTCGGGCAGTGCCCACCCGGGAAGGGAGACGCCGGCGCCGTTAACCGTCAGCCCCGCCCACCCACTTTGCCACCAGGTGATGGCGCTCGGCGTGGTCCCCATGTGCTCCTACCAGATGGAGAGGATATTCAACACCACTCGCATTCCGGGCAAGGAGGCAGGTGGGTGGCGGAAGGAACGCAGCCCGAGAGCAGCGGAGGCGGGGTGCTTGTGTGTGGGGGGGAGGGTGTGGACGGATCCCCAACCAGCCGCCATTTATGCATAGCACTTGTGAATGCTGGGACACTTTTTGCCAATGCGCAGACCACCCCCTCGGGAGCAATGCTCCCTCTAAGCTGTCGAGTCTTGTGAGCAAAAATTCTACTTTGGGGCATTAAAGTTGTGAGCAAGCTATCTGGCTCCTGCATCAATAAGTTTGCTCTGGAGCCCTCCTTCCTGAGCTAGGACAAAAACGTGTGCGCCAGAGGCTAACGAACTGTGTGCTAGCTCACACTAACTCAGCTTAGGGGGAACCCTGGACTCTCCCTCCCTGCAGATTCCCTCCTGCACGTGTCGGAGAGCAAGCACCTGGCCGTCTACCACCAAGGCCGCTTCTACAAGGTGTGGCTGTACCACGGGGGGAAGCTGCTGAGCCCCTGCGACCTGGAGCTGCAGTTCCAGCGCATCCTGGACGACCCTTCGAAGCCCCAGCCCGGCGAGGAGAGGCTGGCGGCCCTCACGGCTGGGGACAGGTAGCCTGTCCATGCCAAGGTTCTGCTGGGTGTGCAGCAGGCCCAGGGGCTGGAGAATGTCCCCCTGGCCCCCGAGGGAATGCCTCCTTTCCCTGGGAGGTCTCGGGAGGGGGCGGTTGGGGGTGGGAGGGAGAGGCCTGCTTGGGGGACCCAGACCAAGTCTCTTGTGGGAACGCCAGGCTTCCGTGGGCAGAAGCGCGAGCCAGGTACTTCAGCCACGGGAGGAACCGGGCAGCACTGGACTGCATCGAGAGAGCGGCCTTCTTCTTGACCCTGGACGAAGACACGTGTGGCTACAACGCCAAGAACGAGAACAGCCTGGACGAGTTAGCCAAGAGCCTCCTCCACGGGCAGTGCTACGACAGGTGAGGCCAGGGTGGCCAACTGCCAGGTGGTGGCTGGACACCTGCCGGTTCCCCTGGAGGAAATGGCTGCTTTGGAAGGTGGGCTCTGTGGCACGGATGCCCCTCCCCTCAACAAACCCCGCCCTCCTCTGGCTCCACCTCCCACCACTCCAGGCACTCCCCAACCCGGAGAGGGCAGCCCTGGGTGAGGCTCTGCTGGGTGGCGGCTCTGTCCCCGGGTCAGCTGCTGGGGGAGAGGCCACTGCTCTTCCGTGAGGCTTGCAGAAGGAGAGGCAGTCTGGTATAGTGGTTAAGTGTGCGGACTCTAATCTGGGAGAACCGGGTTTGATTCCCTCACTCCTCCTCCACTTGCACCTGCTGGATGACCTTGGCCAAGCCGTAGTTCTGACAAGAGCTGTCCTTGAGAAAGAGCCGTTTCTGTCAGAGCTCTCTCAGCCCCCCCTACCTCACAGGGTGTCTGTTGTGGGGAGGGGAGGGGAGAGGAGACTGTAAGCCACTCTGAGACACCTTTGCGTAGTGAAGGGCGGGGTATAAATCCAGTCTCTTCTTCGTTTTCATCCTCCTGGGCAATGCTCCCTCTATGCTGTGGAGTCCTGTGAGCAGGAATCCTACTTTGTGAGCTACCGGCATTCAATTTATGAGCGGGCAGGTGATTTGGCTACTGCCTAAATTAGCTTGCTCCGGACTGGAGCCCTCCTTCCTGAGCGGAGACAAAACTGCGTGAGCCGGAGGCTAAAAAGCTGAGAGATGGCTCACACTGACTCAGCTCAGAGGGAACACTGCTCCCAGCCGATGTTTCCTCTAAGCTGTGGAGTCTTGTGAGCAAAAATTCTACTTGGTGAGCTCCTGGCATTAGAGTTGTGAGCGAGCGATTTGGCTACTGCATAAATAAGTTTGCTCTGGAGCCCTCCTTTCTGAGCTGAGACAAAAAATGTGTGATCCGGTGGCTAAAGAACTGTTAGCCAGCTCACGTTAACGCAGCTTAGAGGGAACACTGGCTGGAATTCACCTGCCCGCAGTCTTTTCCTACCCTTTGTCATGTTTAGAACCCCTTTCCTGGAGGAAGAGAAGGAAAGGAGGCCGAGAAAAGGCATCTCATACCCCAGGACTAATGCTCCCTCTCAGCTGTGGAGTCTTGTGAGCAAAAATTCTACTTTGTGAGCTCCTGGCATTAGAATTGTGAGTGAGCGATTTGGCTACTGCATAAATTACTTTGCTCTGGAGCCATCCTTCCTGAGCGAAGATAAAAATCTGTGAGCTGGAGGCTAAAAAATTGTGAGCTAGCTCACACTAACGCAGCTTAAAGGGGATGTCATCGCACCGGGCACGTCGCCGGCTGACGCTCTAGCAATCGGCCTGGAAACTCTATGGTAAACCCCCCCCTCTGCTATGCCAGGTAAGAGACTTGGCAGCCCTCCCTGCTTCCCGGCAGCCTTCTGACAGTTTTGGTCTCCTCTTGGCAGGTGGTTCGACAAATCCTTCACGCTGGTGGTATACCGCAACGGCAAGCTGGGTGCCAACGCCGAGCACTCGTGGGCCGATGCCCCCATCGTCGGGCACCTTTGGGAGGTGAGAAGCAGCGGGCCTGACAGGGATTTGGCCATGGGGACGGGGCAAAGGATGCCTGGCTGCCAACCCCCTGGGGATCCGAAGCCCGGCCCCTTTCTCCTGACTCCTCCTCCTCCTCCTCCTCTCCCTCCAGTTCATGCTGGCCACCGACCAGTTCCAGTTGGGCTACAGCCACAGCGGGCACTGCCAGGGGGTGCCCAATACGGCCCTGCCTCCGCCCCAGCGCCTGCAGTGGGACATTCCTGCAGAGGTAGATCTTGCTTCTGTGCTCACTGCATGTTCTTGTGCTGGGGGGAGGGGGGGTTGTGGTGTCACACAGTTCCCCATCCACAGGTGTTGGGTATGGAAGAGTGAGGGGGGGGCAGTGGGGTTACATTGGGGGTTCGTGCCCACTGGTCCCAGGAGAACCCTCTCTGCAGAGGGCACGATTGTGTGTGTTTCCTGAGATCCGGGAAGGGGGGGGGGATTCAATGCTCCCTCTAAGCTGTGGAGTCCTGTGAGCAAAAATTCTACTCTGTGAGCTCCTGGCATCAAAGAGGTGAGCGAGCAATGTGGCTGCTGCATAAATCCGTTTGCTTTTCTGGAGCCCTTCTCTCTGAGCCAAGACAAAAACCTGTGAGTCGGGGGCTAAAAAACTGTGCGCTGGCTCACACTGACTCAGCTTAGAGGGAACACTGGGGCCAATCCTAGTGGAGCTCTGCAGGCAGCCCAGCAGACCCTTAAGCCCCCCCGCCCGCTCGCTCGCTCCTCCCCCCCGAGTTTGCTCTGCCGGAGGGTGGCGGCCCCCGGCCCCTCCCCGCTCTCACCCGGGGCTGCTCTGTGCAGTGCAGGCTGGTCATAGACGCCTCCTACAGCGTGGCCAGGGCCCTGGCCGACGACGTGGACTTCCACTGCTTCCGCTTCACGGACTTCGGCAAAGGCCGCATCAAGAAGTGCCGGACCAGCCCCGACAGCTTCGTCCAGATGGCCCTGCAGCTGGCACACTTCCGGGTAACTCCCGCCGTGCCCCCTGTGCCGCACACGCCCCGGCTCCTCTCACCCTCCTGTCCGGAAGTCCTCCCAGAGGGCTGCAACCACCTCTGGGGCCCAGACTCGGCCTCCCGGGGGCATCGCCTTCCTGCTCTTTGGCACGCGGCCAGGGATGTGTCCCTGTGCAGAAGTGGGAGGCGCTCAACTGG